AGAGAGATTCTACGCGGCGCAGCTCCTGGCCCTTCGCGACCACGATGATCCTGATCAAGGAACGAACGTGGTGCGCAGTGCAGGAACAGCAGGAGGGTGATCCGAAGGTTAGTGAAGATGTTTCCGAGCAAGCTCTAGCCACGATATGCTTGAGCATCGATCCCAAGATTTATGGGCTGGTGCGCGATGAAAAATCCGCGAAAAAGGCTTGGGACAATCTGCGGAATACGTACGAGCACAGTGGTTCCACCAGGAAAATTGGACTGCTGAGAAGGCTTACGGGGATCCGGCTGGTTGGCTCTGAACGCGATGAGGACATCATATGCCAAACGACGCAGGTGTACGTGAACGAACTTTTTACGACAAGTCACCAGCTATCGGAGATCTGTTTCGAAGTTGACGATACTTGGCTGGCGAGTCTGCTGATGAAGAGTCTACCGAAGCAGTACGAACCGATGATCCTGGGATTGGAGTCGTCGGGTATGAAGCTTACGGCGGACGTTGCAACGCGTTGTCATGGCGAAAATTTTGCAAGATGTGAAGTTCAGCAAGAATCCAAGCGAAAAACGGAGCAGAAGAAACCTACCGATCCATCGAGCATGAAGTGCTTTCGGTGCAAAAAGTTGGGACACTGTGCGTCGCAATGCCAGAATAAAGCCAGTGAAAGGAAGGAAACCCGTGGGAAACATAGTGGCCATGCTGCATTTTTCGCGGCGTTTAATACGATACAGTCGACCAAGGATGATGTTCACTGGATTTTTGATTCCGGAGCTACATACAACACATCTGTGCCGGAACAAGGACCATCTGCAGGCTGCAGAGGATGTGTCAGCAAGCATCAACGTTGCGAATGGCACTGCAGCTGCTGTTGTTGCCAGACATTGGAGGTACGTTCTGTGTTCTGTGCGTTCCAGATTTGGCGTGAAATTTGTTATCCGTCAGCCAGATGTGCTAGAACGGGTATCAGGTCATGTTCGACAAAGACTCTTGTAAAGTTGTCAGCACTACGAACGAAGTGGCGATCGGACAGCATTCGGATGGACTCTACAAGTTGGCGTTGGTTAAAAGTTCATCAGTTCACTTGGCTCGAGGGCAGAACAGCTTCCAACTATGGCATCAGCGGATGGGGCACCTATCGGCTGGCTGCATGAGGAGACTCAGAGGGATGGTAACTGGAATGGAGTTTGAGGATACAAATTCCTTTCAATGTGTGCCGTGTATCCAAGGCAAGTACCAACGACAGCCGTTTAAGGCGAAGGGTCACAGGACTGAACGTTTGCTTGAGCTGATCCATTCTGATCTCTGTGGGCCGATGGAGACAACGTCGATATTTCCTAACGTTTATCGACGATGCTAGTAGGAAGGCGTTCGTCTTTTTCCTGAAATCAAAAGCAGATGTGTTAGAAGCGTTCGAAGATTTCTAGTCGTATGCAGAGAACCAGACGGGTGAGCAAATCAAGCGGATCAGAACGGATAATGGCAAGGAGTACGTTTATCGTGAGATGCGCCGTTACCTTCGGCAAGCTGGCATTCACCACGAAACCACGGTTCCGTACAATCCGGAGCAGAACGGGCTAGCAGAGCGGATTAACCGCACGTTAGTGGAGCGAGCGAGAAGCATGTTATGCGATACTCGCTCCACCGACAAAAGGCCAACCGGTCACTCCCGAGGAAAGGTTCATTGGAAATCGTCCCGCTTTATCGCACCTTCGTGTGTTTGGAAGCAACGTTCCCAAAGAGAAGCGACGGAAGTGGGATGCGAAGTCTGAGCGGTGTATATTAGACTGATGCAAAATTTGAAAATTTCGCTCCACAGTGCTCGAACGATTCCAAATTTGATCCTGATTATCCTCCCAATATTTGAACTTATTTAGTAAGAAACTAACTTCGCACAAACCGTTTGAAGTTTATATGGAAATTACTATGGGGAAACCATAATTTCGCTTCATATATATCTCATAATTCACCAGTTCACTCTGCTTAAGAAAATGACAGCTGCGCTTGTTGAAATTTTTTTCAGCTACAACTTTGTTGAAGACCACTTTTTGATCAAATATAAGAAACAGAAGTTATAAATGATTCAAGTCACTGATGTCTTTTGATTATGCTCCATCAACTGTTCAGCAGGCAGCATTGGTGTTTCTGGCGCGATTAATAGAGGACAAAAATCATTACTACTAAGTCACACTGCAGAATTCAGTGTTGCCCACTGTACAGTTGCTTAATCATGCCATAAGATTATCAATTTCTTAAATAATTAATAACTATTTAGTTTGATGCCAATGAACAAATAGTTTGGTTTTTCCATAGTAATTTCCATATGAACTTCAAATGGTTTGTGCCAAGCCAGTTTCTTACCAAATGAGTTTAAACTTTCAGAGGCTAATTAGGACCCGATTTGTAACCGTTTGAGTACTGTGGAGTGAACATTTCAAATTTTGCATCAGTCTAGTGTATATTCATGGGCTACAGCGAGATCTCGAAAGTGTACAGGGTGTACAGTTTTAAAGCGCAGAACGTAGTAATTAGCCGTGACGTGATATTTTTGAGCGAAGACCGAATAATGCTGAGAGAAGCTGATCCTGTCGCACAGGCAATTCCTATCGAAATAGTTGTGCGGAACGAACAAGAGGATGCGGAGGAACAGGGCGTTGACGAAGGTGATCACGAATCACTAACGGATGAGGACGAGCTCAGTGATAGCAACAAATCCGAGAATGGCGACAACGATGATACTTTGATTGATGCGGATCAACAACCTGCTGCGCTCCCTCCACAAACAGAGGACCCACAACAGTTGGTAAGGCGCAGTGCGAGGGAGCGCGTAACTCCAGGCAAGTATCTAGATTTTCATTTGGGTTTCGGTATTCTTCCTCACAAAACTTCCCAAATTTCCCAGTTACACGAGGTCCCGGAAAATTTGAATGTCGAGCCACAGTCGTAGCTTCCGTCGTTGACAAGGTCACAGTTGATTGTTTACGACAGATCCACGAAATCGATCCACATGACTGCATGAAGACGTACCCGGTGATTGAGCGTCGCGTCTCGATGTCGTTTCCCCAATCTGCGTCGCTGAATCCAACGAAACCGTTATTTGTTTGCTTGCGGTATGTAAGCTTCATATCCTTCGTCCCTTTCAGATACTGCAAAATACGTTTTGCTGCTATCCTTACCGGGGCGCTGTGGCTTACCGGGGCGCTGCAGAAATGACTGACTGCGTTAACGATGAAGCTGATGTCCGATCGGGTACATTGCGCTAGGAACTGGAGACCTCCTACCAGCTCCCGGAATTGAACTTTCTACATCTGCTTCCGTTTTTCTTCAGTTCTAGGGCTCATCTGCTTCGATAGTTTTTGATTGTGATCTGCCGGGGTTGCTACTGTATCACAGTCACTTATACCGAATCGTTCCAGCAGCTGTTGAATGTACTGCTCCTGGTCCAAACACACAGTTCCGTCTCCTTGCCCGACTCGGATTCAAAGGACTTTGTTGCCCAATCCTTCATCAAAAACTTTGTTGTGAGCTGCTTCTTCAAAGCATTCATCAACGTGAATTTCAGTCAAATTTTATAAAACTTCTTATTTCTCAGTTTGAAGATGTATAGCATTTATTTCCAAGACAGAAAATCTCTAACTTGTGAAATAAAAAAGTTTGTATCGCTGCGCCATCTTTGCGGCCAAAGCTAGCACTATTTTTATCCACCAAATTGTTGTCCTAATTAATACATCTTCACTGAAGACGTCAACTCAATTGGATACCATGCCAGAGCGTTATTATTTGTTTCCTGCTAGATTTAATTCCTGGCCCACTGTGCAATGTAAGATTGGGTTTATTTCATCCTCTGCATATGTTTCATACAGCAAATCTAATGGCAGTTCTTGCAATGAAACGCAGCGTGCAGCTTTGGAGAAACAAATTTTGTTCGAAAAATAAGCACATTACAGAAACTGTTCATGTCGCGAAACTTTGCAATTTCTGTATACTTTGCATGCAAATCTGTAATATATTCTTACATTTCCCGGTTGGCTGTAGTTACGAAGATAAACGGGTTTAAAGAATGTGGAACCCGACCAAATCACGATTTAAACCTAATTTCCGAAGACAAATAAGTATCACCATTTGAAAGACCCAAGCACCCCTAAAATCGCGATTTCGGCCATACATTTACGGAGATAAACGGGTTTAAAGATTTGAAAGAAAGCTCATGTATTATTGCCTTGTTAATGATAAGTATTACCGATCTTACCGAATTGAAAAAAAGTGCTCCATCTGCAGCAATACGCCTCCATTTGTTATAGCTAGCTGACAGGAAAAGTGATAGCTCCACCCGAAAGAGAAAACAGTGGGTTATGCAAGTATCAATAAATTTTCGTTTGACAAGGCCAACAACGATCGCTTCTTCCACTGCCTACAACTTTTCTCCAGACTTCATACATGAATGTATGTATGTGACACGGCTGGAGACTCGCTGCTGTTAATGCAATGTTTAATGGATTATGCAAATACATTTTTCGCTCCATCTTATTCCCCGTACTAGCCGGCTGTGCTGGAGTTTCAGGTGCGTGTGTGCTGTGTAGTGGATAGAACAGTGTACTCACTTTCCTTGAAGAATTTCAATTTCATTTAACGATATTCGTTCCACACCGGTTGAAATGGACTTGCCGTCCGGAAATAAATAGGGTTATTCATTAACTTATGTTTTCCGTACACTTCGAAAAGTGCGCTGATATCGAGATAACTTACCCTATTCTGAGCTTCATGTCATGGAACAAGCAGCAGCTCATAAAGTTTAACCGAGTAAATGCATCGTGAAGAGCGAGTAATGCTTAAAATTAAACTTTTCCCTTCTTCTCGCCCGGCAAAAGAACAACACCACACACATATATTGCGCTGAAGCACGCGAAAACTCGTCCGAATCGTTCATGAATGAAATAAACGTTGCTCATTTTCCGCTGTTTTACGCGAATAAGCCAATTACACACTCTTGCTGAAAAGGATACAATCGGCAGTGCTCGTTCTCGGAAGTGGATCACCGTAAAGGCCTGATCCGGCGTCGCCACGTCCAACAGGTGATGAGGAGCTTGCGATTGCTCTTCTCTGGTCGCTTTCGCCGTCACGATGTCCAGTTCACGGTATACCTACAAAGGTGAAGAAGCAGAAAGTGAAACCAGAAACAACAACAAAAAAACAAGAATTATTAAAATGGTTCCAAGAAGAACGATTAGTCGAATCATTCCGCATCGTTAAAAAATCACTGTTTTATACCGCGCCACGTCACACCGCACTAGGCTATGCTACGAATTTCGGGAAGACACGACACGGTACCCATAAAAAGTTGAATGCCTCAATAATGACAGTCCACCGTATCTATTGGTTAGGATGGAAGAAGAATGACACGAGAATTGTTAATCGCGTCACAGCAATCGACACCGAAACCGAATGGCAGGTTGATTTTTAAGACTATTTAATTAGAAATTCATAGCCAACGGAGTTTGAGCACTGTAAAAAGAACACAATAGCCAACCGGTCGTTAACAAAAAAAGAACGACACTGAACGTATCTAATGCTTTCACCATTCATCTAAATTAATTTATCAATAAATAAAACCAGCAGATTTATGATGATTCCCTTTCGGCCGATTAGAGACTTAGTTCGTGGCTGCACTCGGGCACCGATAACAAGATAATTACGAAGCATTTAGTCAGCTGGATAAAAGCAAGCAAATTTCAACCACTTAGCATTCTGACTGACCTGAACTGCCCAAGGAGATCGATCAATATTTAGAAAAATTGCTGCATGCCAACGAATCAAGACGAGATCATGGAGAATGATCGAAAGCGGGATAAGCACTCCATTTTATCGCTCATTTCTCACGCTTTGGGCGTCTCATGATCTAGTTGCTGACGTAGTTTGGTTCAACAGGTGACACTATAAAAAAAATAACAAACAATTATCTGCCATTCCGCAACCCCTGCCCTGCATAGCTGACCCCGACCCATGGGAATCCCACTTCGAATTGGGTAACAACATATGGCATCCCATTGCGCAAGAGTTCATCAGCCATTAAGGTTCGATGCGGTGGGCACGCCACGGACGGATGGACGGCCATAACAAGCGAAAGAGCGGTTAAGATAGCTTCAAACCCTTGAAAATTCCTCCCCAACAGGTGCAAGGTATGAAACTGCATACGTCATCGCCTGCCTGTTGGATCGAAGCGGATGGGTTCCTCACTCCGATCCGAGTACCTAATCTTCCACCTACCTGGTGATCGCTTATGGAATCTGATGGCGCACGGGCGGGCGCCTGTATGTGTGTGTGTGTGTGTGTGTACCATACCGTTTGTACGGCTCCGTGTAATTTGTTTGTATAGTTTGTTCCCCTCTTGGCGATTCCCATCAACGACGATCATGGCCTTCCAAGATCGATCTGGATTCCGAAATTAAACAGGGCCAACCGAGCCAATGTGTAGCTGCGATGAGGGCGCGCACACTTGAATGTTCTCTGCCTCTACACACATGATACAATCTTGCGAACCTTGACTAGTAAGAGAGCAAGAGCAGAAGGAGACTAAATTGAGCTTAATACATTTGATTAGAACTTGATTGGGAGATTCGTTTCAGTTAATTTTCCTTCCCAAGGCGGATGGATGATGGGAAATAGTATTTATGGCGGATTCGAGGATGGGGCCACATTCGACCGGAAACAATCGAGCTTTTTATGAGAGAATCAATCGAAGAAATCGGGACGGGGCGTGATCCAAAGAACAAGCATAAAATTATTATTGTTCTGTAGATACATAAGCTTGTGAGTGGCGGTTCCATACCGATCGAGACGTGGGAAATTACGATTTTCACACCGTAAAAATGTGATTTGATCAAGGCTTGCGATTTTTCTTTGATCGTCCAGGCAGGAAATCGGTCGGATCGGTTACAATGTTTTATCATCAATTTGATTCACCATTTAATGTGCGATCGGGATTAGAATTAGCTCTCCATGATCACCAGGTATAGGAAAATAAGCATCGATCAAAATCGGTTTGGATAAAGCTGAACGCGCGTCCAAGTAATGGAATCAATTATAATCCATCGAAGCAAGCCCGTGGACGTTGCATCGTATGCTAATCAAGTGGGAGGTGTCCAAGGATAGTTGAAATTCTTCCTACTATTTTTATCCACGACAGATTGTCGGACAGAACAGCCGAGTCAACCAACAGCGGCTAATGGACGCCCGGAACGAAAGAGCTATCAATCATGGTACTCACGGAGATGAAATGATTATAATCATGTCTGTTTACGTTAGCGCGCTCAGACCTCTCCACACTGTGACCCTGCCCGGTTCGATTCAGACTTGATCCCCGATCATAATGAGGATGATGATGACTTCATACATTGATTACGGAACCATCATGCTTCTTGGAAATTTCTCACGCATCAAAGGTGTGCACTGTAAAAAAAAAAACGTTCAGCCACATTGCGCAACGTAACCTTAATTCGACCGTTTACGCCATCTTTTTTGATGCCCATACCTGTCAATTACGGTCTAATTCATTGTTTCCTTCCGTTTGCTGTTGCAATTTGTAAATGAAAAGTAGGCAACTCTGATGGTCGCGTGGAAAGTGCAATTTAATAACCCATTATCACACAACCCAGCAGACAATGCAGTACTCGCGCAATTTCGCTGACAGAATGATAATCGACCCGTACCGACCCATCCATGACAACAACAACAACAACTAGGTATCTAACAACCAGGTGTCCAAAATGATAGACCAAGTTCACACGGACAGTATGTCACACTGAAAGCCATTGCTCGATCTCCCACTAATATCACCATCGCAGTAGGCGAAGGAAATTGAAAATTAAAATCCTATCAATCGTACCGCCATGCATATAGGGTAGATGTGCCAGTTATGACTATATGTACTTATAAGGTTGAGCATACTATAGGCCATAATTGAAACACACCATAACTGGTACACCTACCCTATAGCGTCGTCGGGTGGCGGTTTGATTCGTTGGGTATTAGGTGTCCATAAACGGGTTGTTCTCACGGGAGCTTCCCCGTTAGATGGGAAAGGTCTCATGTTTATGAATACAGTTTCGATTAAAATGAATTGGTATTTTTTAATGGTATTGTTGAACGTGTCCCGCTGGGAATTTTATTTTTTATGAATTTCTCACTTTCTGCTACGAGTTTTGATGTGAGTTAAATAATATTCGATGGCATCTTGCACATTTTACACCAAAGTAGACTCCTGCACTGAAGATAATCCCTCTGATTTTTTTTTGCTCAGCCCAGCAAAATTAAAAATTATTTAATTTTAAAGTTCTATAACCGCTAGAATGTCGATATGATATTCTATTTATGTTTATTACTGTGTTGGAGTGTTCGACTGTGAGGTTTTACAATAAACAGTTTCGGCTTGGCAGTCTGGCAATCACTCAATCAGAACAAATTAATTTTGTAATTTGTCCCTACGTTTCGGCTCTGACGAAGGCCCTAATCAGAGCCGAAACGTAGGGACAAATTACAAAATTAATTTGTTCTGATTGAGTGATTGCCAGACTGCCAAGCCGAAACTGTTTATTATGTTTATTACTTTAAATAAAAATATGGCCTAAGCGAACAAACTTCTGAGGGATTATTTTCGACGCAGGAGTCTACTTTGGTGCAAAAAGCGCAATATGTTATCGGAACACAGAACTGGTAACGAGCAATGCTGTCAAAAACAGTATATTTTGTGACCCTGTTGAATAAATAGGTGACTAAAAAGAGACCTAAGAGAAGAAAAGTAGTCGTTCAGATAACACCTAAAAAAGTAGGGGCCTAGGGGCACGAACGGGAGCTTGACGTAGGACCGCTAGTGCACGGAACAAATGTGAAGAAAATTTATTTCTTTTATTTGATCGATCATCTATTATCTTAACTCTTTCCGTTTTTGATTTGTAGGCGTACCAAATTTGTAGTATTTTTTTTTCAAAGAGAGAGTTGATGAAGAGAATCAATCAAAATCACTTCCACCCCTGCTTCCAAGTTTGGTTACAAGATTACAACTCTGAAGAGCATTTTGTGTGGTTGTTGGGGGCATGTGGTTCTGAATATGGACCAACAGGCAGATTAATTCTAATCTAACTTTTTACTGAAATAAGCTTGTTGGCCCAGAAAAGGGCCGTTTTGTTGCCAAAGTTGGTGATGATGTAACTTCCAAAACTGTACAGAGTTCGTCTGTCGCTTCAAAGCGTAGACGACATCGATGGCCGTGGCGTGTTCAATATAGGTGAGAGACAGCATCACGGATCACATTTTCCAAGAACACCTTGAGCATACCTCGTGTTTTCTCGTAGATCAGACCGGAGACACGTTTGACACCGCCACGGCGAGCCAGACGACTGCTTCTGCTGTCTGCTCACCACGGAGTCCGAAGCGAAAATGATTTGAAGCTAGACAACAGCGCTTTTTTATATCTTTTCAGGTTAAAGCAGAATGATGTGCAACCAAGTGGTACTCGATTATGACGACGCCGGTAAGCTACAAAAACTCCTCCCATCATGAGTAGTTTGCTATCAAGTAGCGACACTGCCTCCTTTCCTTTTGCGCAGTTTGCCAATGTAAACAACTGGAAAGTTAGCGGCGCCGGTTGTGTAGTGGTAAGCGTGGATACCTCTCATCCCAGCAAGCCTGGGTTCAATATCGATCAAAGCTGATCAAGGTTGATCAAAATCATTTGTACCCTACCCCTGCTTCCAGTTTGGTTACATGAGCATTTTGTGTGGTCGTTGGAGGCGTTTGGTTCTGAATATGGACAAACAGGCAGATGAATTCTATTCCTACTCTTTACTGTAATGAGCTTGGTGACCCTGAAAAGGGCCGTTTTGTTGCCAAAGTTGGAGATGATTTACCCTCCGAGACCAAACAGAGTGCGTCTCTGTCACTTCAAAACGTAGATGACATCCATGGCAGCTTACGCTTGGCGTGTTTAGTATAGGTGATAGCATCACGGACCTCATTTCCCAGGAACACCTTCAGCACACCTTGTAGATCAGACCAGAGATACGTCAGACACCGCCACGGCGAGCCACCCGACGGATGGTGGTTATCTCGAAGAATTTGCGATGACGATTGGCACCTCCTTTGCCAC